AATATTTAAAAATTGTTTAATATGTGGGTGTGGCTTTGCTCTAACACAAGTAACAAATACTCTGAGTTAACGTTCTCTCTCCACTGTTCATGCCGGGGCCAGCATATATTCGAAAATCATCAGTTATGCCTCTATTCTAATCACGATTACTGTGTTAAAATGATTCTGGGGACAGCAAAATCATGGGATTAAGAAAATGAAACATTACAATATCAAACGCTGTTGATGTTGTCCCTCTATGTTTGTCTGCTTCTTCACAATCCTTTCAATATTTTACTATTAAACAACTAATTATATTCATTTGATTTGACCCAAGTGTTATCACCGAATCTCATCACCTCCATCTTATTTTATGTCTTCTTTTGGCCGCTACCATTCCTCTTTTCCTTTTAACTACTTCTTTATAATACTATTCTTTTGTTAGTCAGCAACATACCCTAATATTATTCCATTTGGAACCAAATCATGGTTTCTTAAAGCAAACAATTTCAGTGCTTAATCAATTCAAGAACAAAAGGATTTTTGTAGTTGGTCGATGGCTAATCCATCGAAGCCATCGGCGCTATGTTTCTCTTATTATTCATCTAATCATAACGATTCGCTTGCACACTCCCATTCTTGTGCCCTTGATTGGTAATTGAACAGAAGAGTAATGGCAAGCAAAATATATATATATATTATATCTAATTCTGAGGATGGTGAAAGCAACAAATTTGCAACAGGATTATGTAGTTGGGATCTTATGCAGTTCAAAGACAAAGATCAGGTTTCGAGTTCCATAATCTCCATGCTAGACATGGGGAAACATAATAATTAATTGCGGCAAGCACATGTAACGTGACCCTGTTTTGTAACTTAAGCTACAAACAAAGTTACGCCTAATTAATTGCCCTCACTTATTCCATCTTCAAATTAAAAAAACCCATTTCCACAGGAACACTTTTGCGGTGAATGGAACCCCACTGAAACAAAAAAGTGGATAAAAAGTGGTGATTTTATTATTTATATAAAGTAGACCTAGTACAATGCATAAGAGATAAGAAAATAAGAAAATAAGAAAGAAAGAAAGAAGCAGGGCTAGTGGGCTAAGGGAAAAAGCCCACATGACTCGGTTCCACATGGGCTTGACAACGATTGGGGCAACAGCAACAGGCACAATCTCGTAATTATCTGAAAGCCCAGTGGCGTTTTGTGAAGCGCGAAACCATATATACCCCCCACGCGCTCTTTAAGCTCCTCCACCTACCTACCCAGCGTTCACACTTGAAATTCCAAAACGAAGCGTTTCACTCTCTTTGGTTAAGACAATGTTGGCGTCGACGGGGAACTGCAGCAAAATCCGGCGCATTGTGCGGGTGCGGCAGATGCTGATGCGGTGGCGGAGGAAGGCGGCGAGGACGGACGTGCCGGCGGGACACGTGGCGGTGTGCGTGGGGCCGAGCAGGAGGAGGTTCATCGTGCCGGCGACGCACCTCAACCACCCCATATTCAAGACGCTCCTGGTGGAGGCGGAGGAGGAGTACGGCTTCTGCAACCACGGTCCTCTCGCTATTCCCTGCGACGAGTCGCTCTTCGAAGAGCTTCTCAGGGTTCTCGCGCGACCCGTCCCAGCCTTCAACACGCTCGAGGATTTTCAGAGACGCTGCCACGTGGACGTATCCACTGCCTTCGACTTTGAATCGCGGCCGTTGCTTCGTGACGAGCCCATTTGCTGAGTTCATCGCTCCGTTTCTCAAATTACAAGAAAGAAACAATCATCACTAACTACTTTTTTTTTTTGGTTTGTATTTTTTTTACCCTGATTACTGATTTGTGGGGTTTTTTTTAGTTGTTAGGGAAATGAAGATAAGGAAGGAAGTGGGGTTTGGATATTATTATTTTATTCGTTGAAAAAGAATATAGTTATGATGGATTGTGAGATTGTCCATTAATTGTATTGTAATTTGTATTATGTAAGATATGCAAATTACTTACTTGGATCATTATTGGCTCCAAATAAGCTTACTTATGCTTGTTGGTTAGATTTATCTTTTATAATTGTTAAAAACTAACTATGATAATTATAAAAAAAAACTTAAAGATGATAAATGTAATATTTTGTGTATTTGTCTATTTTTGAGATTGATATTCTGGATACAATGAGTTTTGTTTTTAGTTTTTGACACATGTTTATAGTTATCATTAGTAAACTTTATTTTATTTATATTAGTTTCTATAATTTTATAAATTTTATTTTTAAATTTCTATAATTAAAAAAATTCTACTATACTCATTATATATGTAATTTTGATCCTTTATAATTCATGTTATATATTTATATAAGAATTAAAAGGTGAAATTTATGTAATTATCGAAACAACAAAAAAAATTAAAATAAAATATTTTTAATTTTAAGAATTAAAATAAAATTTTTAATTATAAGAATTAAAATGTAAAGTTCATGAAAATATAAGAATCAAAAGATAATTAACATGTAAATATTTTTGTGAAGCATATAAATTGGATTGAAATTATTTTAGTTCCATGTCAATTCAGTCAAGCTTACATCCACTACAAAAAAAAAAAAAAAAAAAAAAAAAAAAGTTAGGTTGCAATGAACCAATTTAAATAAGTTGCACAACTTAAATAGATTAAACCGACTTGATTGACAACTCTACTCTTAAATAGTACCTACATTAATAAAATTAAATAAATAATATTTCAATTTGAATATTGACTGGTTTAGTTCATAAATTAATGTATTTTAGAAAAATTAATGTACTAATTGGAAGAATATTTTAATATTTAGGAGATTATTTAATATGAATTTTAATATTGTGAAGGGTTATATTTATTATTAAATTCAATAACTTATAATATAATTTAAATTTCAATAATTTAACAGTTAAATTAAAATTTTTATTTAATAAATCAAATTTTAATTTTTTTTAAAAAATTTTAAAAATTATTTGATAATTTATTATGTAAAATTAAATTAACATATATTTATAAAAACATATTATTTATTAATTTGAATTCAAATTATATATAAAAAGATGGTTCTATGCATACTTAAAATACTAATTTTTATTCTAACGTTAGGACTAGGAGGACTTATTATTATTACACGTTACGAGGTCTCACACGTTATGAAAATTTTGGAGCTTTAAAAGGACAGAAGCTTGACAGCATAGGTGACTTCTTTCGCTTTTTATTTGTTGACTTTAAAATAACAGATAATAAATACAATAAGAAATATTATCAATATTTTTTATTTATAAATAAAGTGTAAAATAACTTGAAGATTAAATAAATTATAAAAGAAAAATAATAATTTACATAGCGCAGTACAGGCTGAAATAAGCCAGGAAACCGACGCGACACGTGTCAGTTGAAAGGCACACCCAACGACACACTTATTACCAAACCATCATTGTAAAACCGTCACTGCCCCCAATACGTCAATCAAACGTCTCCAGAGCATAAACAGTCGCGACACGTTGCGAACCTCCAGCTAGCGTACGCGCAAAGCCACCTCTCCTCTCACGAGCCCGACCTTAACTCCTCGGCCTACGGCCTTCGGAGCTCGGGGGGCTAGTGTACTGACCGCATTTCGCACCCGGGCTCTCAGCCCGGGTTGACATTATAAGGGTCATCCCGGACACGCGTTGAACAACGTCAGCCCGGAATC